GGGTAAGTCTTTTATCATGATTAGTGAGATATTATCATATCCCGGTGCTATTTTGCAGTCTAACTTGTTTGTGGTTATTTGAACAAGATCATTGACCGTGATATTCACGCCAATAGATGGTGCATGTAGATCCTGAGTGGGAAAGTCATAATATCCTGTTGCAGGATTTGGTTGAAACATCTCTTTTAGGTAATCAGCAAAAACGTTAGATTTTTCTTCATCACTTCGCGCTCAGTTTCCGAAAGAGTTTCTTATTCGGATTCTATGGGGGAATTCATACCTTTGCTAGCATTTCACAAGGATAAATGGTTTTTGCCATTTGGACACAGGTTTTGAATATAATTATATTGCCTGATTTTGGTTTCCTTGCTTGATGCAGATCTAAGTCTCTGTTAACAAGTAAACGAACTGTATGATAGACTTGCATTTATTTCCTAACCGAAACCAATGCCAAGGCTGACCGGTTCGTTGACTTCTTCTTTCGTAACAATGCAGTTCACAGCAATTCGCTTTGAACTGCATTTTGCGAAACCAGCAAATGAACTCCACGTTGTTTTAGAACCTTTTTCACTTTAATTATTTTTGTATGATTTGCAATTTATAATTAATTTATTTTAATTGTTAATTTTGCTATTATTATTTTTTGTATAAATTGCAATTTGTAATTGATTTAGTTTAATTATCAATTTTCCATTGTTAATTTATTGCATATCGGCAATTTACCATTGATATTTAAGAGGTAAATTGCAGATATATTTTTCATTAAAAATAAAGCATTCAAACCAACAAAGAGTTTGTTTTTCTCAATCCAAAAATAGCACGCACTTGAATTGGAGCTTCTCCTCTTCAAGATCAATTGAGTCGACGTTTCGTCTGAACTCAATACTATCAATAGCACCTAAGCTATTGATATCTTTTCAGTCTCCTTTGGGCTTCCTTAAATAAGTTCTTCGCTAAAGGGGATCTAGATTTTTGCCAATCGCTCCTTAACCTACGTTTTTGTAAAACTAAGTTTTCTATGCTCTATTTGTAAGTACTTTATCGGATGTGTAAATTTTATTGTCTTTAGGAGTAGAGTTTTCTTATGCTGAAATCAGTTTCGAGTTTAAAACCGAGGTTGCGTCCTCAATGTGTGAATGTGTGAATTAATGTACTTTTTATATTTGAGCCAGTTTGTTCTAGGACTTGTAAGGCTATAGGAACAGTCATATAACTGAGGACCATCAATTAAACAAAATGTAACTGGAGAATGGTCAGAAGACAAATTGTTGCTTGTGTATGTTGAGATAAAATTTTTGCTTATGCCTTTGGTTACGGCGAAGTCTATTAGGTCTCGTATTTTATGGTTATCTGCAGGCCAATATGTTGCCTGCCCAGCAGAGATTACGTCTAGTGCATTTTTTTTATTTTAAATGGAATTGTGGAGCTGTTTTCCTTTTGGATTACAGAGTCGTGAACCCCAATAAGTGTGCTTGGCGATGTAGTCTCCCGCCGCTAGAAATCTTTCACTTAGATTTAAGAAGTAATCCGTAAATTGGGTCTCAGTAATGTTGAAGCGAGGGCGGCAGTAAACTGCCGCTAAAGTTGATTTTTTACCTTGGTGCTTAAGGCATATTGATGTGGCTTGCATATAAGTATGAGCATATGTACCTAGAAAATTGTGTTTTAGACGCCTCCGTATCAAAATACCTGTACCACCATGTGCTTTGCCATCTGGGTGATTGGAATAAATAACCAGGAATAGAAAAGAAATTTTTATTTGTTAAATGTGTTTCTGAGCAAAACATCACATCCTCACTTTCTCGGGACATGAGATTTGTGAGTTCAAGTTTATGTTGGCTTAAGCTGTTTGCATTCCATGTACAAGTTTTTAAAGTACTCATTATTTAGACAAAAACATTTGCATTAATTGGCTTTCCATTTTAACTATCTCGTTAAGAGTTGTTTGCATGATGGACATGAACTGAGTTAAGCTCTGGGTGAGAGTGGAGATCATCATTTCCAAAGTATTATTTTGAACTGGAGGGGCTTGTTGCTTGTCAGATTTAACGACATTAGCATATGAAACACCTGATGTAACAGGCTTAGAAGTTAAATGTTATGGTACTTCAACTAATTTGCTTCTTGTAGGATTACGCAACGCTTTTTTCTGCAGAGGAAACCTGTGCTTCAGTTCTTTATAAATGGGACAGCCTCTGTAGTTTACAGTGCAATTTTCACTGCAGTTACTACATTTTTTGGAGTTGGTATCCTTTAATGTTTTTTTATCACATTCGGAACTATGATGAAGCTCACCACAAGCTACGCACACTGTAGGAAGAGTGTAATATGACTTAATATGGCCATACTCTTGGCAGTTTGTGCATTGCACCGTAAATACTGTAGGTTGTAAATGGAATGGCTCTCATTTTTCATTTTTTTTTAAGCTTAGAAGCTTCCGGGTGAAGTTCAACTTTGAACATAGGTTGTGAGATTTTATCTTTGTTAACAATGTTTAAAATTGCTCTAGTGCTAAAGCCTTTTTCGCTTAGGGGATTTGTTATCTCAGTGGGTTCTACATTTGACTCAATACCTTTTGTTATGTATTTGAATTAACCAATTACATACACCAAATCAAACGCCACTGCAAAATCAACCTCACTAGCTAATCACCACGAAACAAGCAACAAATTTCTCTCGCTCTCTATTATATTATATTTTGTAGTTTTATGTATTTTAAAAAAAATTCAGTTCGCTGCAGACTGCATTAATGGTAGCACGTTAATATAACACTGGCGACGAGGCCAAACGAACAGAAGTAAACCACGTGATCGCGAAATAAAAAAAAACTTCAGCAAAATGGCAAACGAGGTTGCTAAGATAATAGCGGATCAGAACGCTTTTATGAAAAGCCTTTTGGATGACCAGAAAGCATTTTTACAAACAATACTACGGGGAGTCACTTCAAGTACTAATGAAGGTACATTGGTTCCAACATTTCCAGCATTCGGAAAGGAGCACACTAAGTGGGAATCCTACATGCAGCAGATGCCTCAACATTTTTCGGCGTATGCAGTCACCACAGAGTTTAAAAAGAAAGCGTTTTTTTTAACATGGGTTGGTGGTGAGACTTTTGAGTTATTGAAAAAATTATTCGGGAAGAATGATTTGGAGGGCATTCCATTTGCTGAGTTGGTGCAAAAGCTGTCGGAACATTTCCAAGAACAAATTCATGTGGTAGCAGCGCGGTATTATTTTAATAAGTGCTTGATGAAGCCAACGCAAACATACAGGGAATGGATAGCTGAATTAAGAGAAATAGCTAGAGAATGCCAATTTCAATGTATGGGTGAAAATTGTACCAAATCATATGTTGATGAAATGATTAGGGACATGTTAATTCTGCATACACCTCATGACACCGTAAGAGCAGCGGCACTTCAGAAATTAAAACCTACATTAGAAGATGTTTTATTAATTGCAGAGTCTTTTACTTTGACGACAAATGCTATAAATTCTATTAAACAACAACAACTCCAAGAGAGTTTGCCGTTAGTTAATGAAATCACGTTACATGCAAAAAATAGAGCACAAAAAGAGAAAAGTAAGAAAAAATGTTTCAGCTGCGGAGGCTCTCATCGACGTAGCGACTGCAAATTTAGAGAAGCTGTTTGCTTTGTCTGCTATAAAGTTGGACATATAGCAAAAGTGTGCTTGAGCAACATTAACAACAAAGCAAATACAAGAAAATTAAAAATTACAGCAAAAAAGAATGAAAAGAATAGTGCACAAGCAAACGCAATAGAATGCATTGAAAGTGTGTATAATACGACAGTAGAAAAAGTAAAAATTAAAAAGAAAAAATATATTAATGTGGAAATTTTAAATAAAACAATAAGTTTTCAAATGGATTCAGGTTCATCGGTTTCGGTCATAACGCAAAAGACATTTAATCAGTTAGGCAGGCCAAAACTTCGAAGTTGCACACGTCCAATTTATGGTTATGGTAAAAAGGTGATAGAAACCTTAGGCAAATGCGAAATAAAAGTAAAATGTGGAAAACTAGAAAAAGAAGCAGTGCTGGTTGTTGCTAAAGTCGAAAGTGGTCAAAATTTATTTGGCATGGATTTATTTGAAGTTTTTAATTACGATATTGTGCAAGTGAATAATATTATTCAGAACTCAATGATGGTAGAAGAAGAATCTAAAAGATTATTATCAAAGTACCAAGAATTGTTTGAACCGGCAACAGGGCCGATTTCTAGTTTTAAAGCGAGCATCAAATTAAAGTCTACGGCTGTACAAAAATATTTTAAATGTCGTCAGGTGCCATTCGCCCTACTTGAAAAATTTAACGTGGAAGCTGATCGACTAGTGCAAAACAGTATTTGGAAACCTGTTAAGTTTAGCAATTGGGCTTCTCCAATCGTACTTGCACCAAAGCAGGACGGCAGTATTCGTATTTGCGGGGACTTTAAAGTAACTATTAATAGTCAAATCGAAATTGAACGGTTTCCATTAAAGCGCTAATGGGTAAGATAAACTATTATTACAATTACATTCCAAACATGTCGCAAATCGCTGCTCCGATAAATTAGCTTCGCAAGAAAAATATTCTTTTTAATTGGACACACATACATGAAGATGCGTTCAAGTCCTTAAAGAAGCATATAGTGAATGCTACACAATTAGTTCACTTTCAGGAGCACTTACTAATAATCCTCGCTACAGACGCTTCATCATCAGGTATTGGTGCAGTAATTTCGCATATCTTCGCAGATGGCAGCGAACGCCCAATTGCATTCGCATCAAAGATACTCAACGTTCATCAAGTAAAGTACAGTCAAATAGAAAAGGAGGGGCTTGCGATTGTATTTGGCGTTCAAAAATTTCATCAATACTTGTATGGCCGTAAGTTCACTCTATTCACTGACCACAAACCACTGGTGAGTATCTTTAATACAGGAAAACACTTGCCAACAACGACTTCAAATAGACTACAACGGTGGGCAATAATTCTAATGGCCTATCAGTTCGACATAAAATACAAACCTACAGCACAACACGGGAATGCTGACGCCCTTTCAAGACTACCAGAAGGCCCAGGTAACAACTTTGATCAAGAGAACAATTGTTTTGCAGTCGAAGAGCTGGATACCCCAATTGATGCAGAGGTTATCCGATTTCATACAAAGAGGGATGTAACTCTCATGAAAGTTCACCGGTTCATACAACAAGGGTGGCCTACATTCGTAGGACCACAACAAGCAGATATACTACCATATTTCCAACGTAATACTGCTTTAGTTATTATTGATAACATTATTTGCTTACAGGGCTATTCAAATCGGGCTATAATTCCAAAAAAACTGCGCCAACGCGTCCTTGAACTGTTGCATGAAAGCCACTGGGGCATAGTTCGAATGAAACAATTAGGTCGAAGATACTGCTGGTGGCCGGGCATCGACAAAAATATCGAGACACTCGCATCGTCATGCAACATATGTAAAAGAACGTCAGCCAGTCCACCAAAGGAATTTAGCTCGTGGCCCGAAGCTATACGTCCGTGGCAACGTGTCCACATTGACTTCGACGGACCGGTATTCAATCACCATATGTGGCTCGTATGTGTCGACGCATTTTCACAGTATCCGTACATTGTCCAATTGTCAAATACAACCTCTGCTGATACAGTAAAGGCGTTAACATCAATTTTTGCCATAGAAGGTTTGCCGGAAACGTTAGTAAGTGACAACGGTCTACAACTTACATCCTCACAGTTTAAGGAATTTTGCTTGAAAAATGGCATTCAGCATGTCACGACAGCGCTATTTCACCCGGCTTCAAACGGCTTAGCAGAGCGTTTCGTGCGTACTTTTAAGACATCGGCGAAGAAAAACCTTGATGACAGTATGCCAATTAGTGAAGCAGTTATCAAATTTTTAGTGACCTACCGCTCTATGCCAAATACTAACAATAAGTCTCCTGCAGAGTTGCTACACGGCAGAACGGTTCGAACGCTTCTTACACAGATTTTACCGGTTACAAAATCATCAAAAAAGCAACCAGTGACGACAAAATTCGGCAAGGATTGCAAAGTTTTTTTACGCAACTACAGTAGCGGTCCTAAATGGGTCGAAGGAATAATTGAGAAATCTTTGGGAAACAGGGTCTACTTAGTTAAGACACTGACTGGTCAATGTAAGCGTCATCAAAATCAACTTCAAGCGCGCCAGTCAACACCGCCGCAACCAACTGCCTATAAACCATCAAAACAACATCAGCAGTCAACCATCGATGAACCATTAAAACAACAGCAGCAGTCAACCATCAAGGAACCGTCACAACAAGAAACAACTCAAAATTTTCAAGAAACAAATGCAGGTCAACAAATTCTAGAAATACCCACCTCTGTGCGCAGAAGTGAACGCACACGAAAATGAGTATGCCGATTTCAATCAGAAGATTTCAGAACTTAAGGGGTGGATAATGTTATGTATTTGAATTAACCAATTACATACACCAAATCAAACGCCACTGCAAAATCAACCTCACTAGCTAATCACCACGAAACAAGCAACAAATTTCTCTCGCTCTCTATTATATTATATTTTGTAGTTTTATATGTTTTAAATAAAGTTCAGTTCGCTGCAGACTGCATTAATGGTAGCACGTAAATATAACACCTTTAATGACGACAACAAGGCCTTTACTACTCTACTCTTTACTACTCTTACTATTTTAAATTATGTTAATTTGTTACTAAATTGTAAATACAGTCAAACTTCTATAACTTGAATTTTCTATAACTCCAAGGTTTTAGAGAGCAAATTACATTGAATTCTGCGTCCATAACTCGAACTTCTATAATTTGAATTTTTTTATAGCTCGACCAAAAATTTTGTTTCGTGTCGACAGGAATATGGGAAACTACATTCTATAAGTCGAATTTTTTTAAGTATAAATGCATTTTGCTGTTAGGGGAAGTCCTTTTTTCCGAAACAAATGTTTAATGTTTTCTTTCTTGCGCTGCTTCTTTGTGCAAATGCCAGTCGCTGGCAGCATGGTTTAAAGTAAATAAAACATTTTCCAATGCTACTCTTAAAAATTATATTCAGCTTGACAATGAAATTTGTATATCAAGCTTTTCTACAGATGACGATATTATTGAGCACTATAACTCTAAATTACTGGATCCAATTCTAAGCGCAACGAAAAGTATTTGATTGCATTCTTAAGGTGTCATTCTTAAGGTTTTTTTTTTTTGAAATCCATTTATTTTATTACAATCTGTCAGATATAAATAACAATAAGTAATATATATTAATATAAATCGTAATAATAGTTATTACGATCTAAAGAAAGGCGCGTACGGACTATGCCCAGTGACATATTCATATGTATATAAAATAGAAGTGTGTGACCTACATATACATATTTAAAACGTCTCTCGATGTTTTCCTTCTCAGCCTTGTAAAAGTGGAAGGGGACATTAAGTGTGTAACCAGTGGGTTTGGGTGCATATATATGCGATGAGCGTAATTCTTTAAAATACCATACTAGCTATTTCTTCCTTGATTGTCCGAACCTGTAATTGTTTATGCAGCTGTTCATTTATTATATATTAAGGTGCATTTGTGATCATTCGTAGTGTTTTAGATTGAAAACGCTGGATAATTGCCAGGTTTGAATCTGCTGCAGTACCCCATAATTGGGCCCCATAACTCCATATAGGTTTTAGTACAGATTTGTATTAAGCAGTTTATTGTCGAGTGACAGTTTAGAATTTCAGCTGACAAACCAAAATAAGTTTCGTAATTTAAGACCCAGGGCTTTACGATTTTTGAATATGTGTGATTTCCAGGTTAGCTTACTATCCAGATGTGTGCCCAAGTATTTTGTTTCTATAGCTTGTGGTAATTGAGTATTGTTTAGTAAAACAGGCGGGCACGTAGAAAATTTTGTAGTAAATGTTACCTGGACAGATTTTGATTCATTCAGTTTGATACGCCAGTTTTTCATCCAGAGAGCAACATTGTTAAGGCAGGTTTGAAGTTTGGTGGAAGCACGGATTGGGTCACTGTCAACTGATAAAATAGCTGTGTCGTCTGCAAATGTACCGATAACACTCTCATCAGTACGGAAAAGATTCGTAGTATATAAATGATAAAGCATTGGTCCCATAATGCTACCTTAAGGTACTCCTGCTCCTATATCATGAAGTACTGTAGTTTCGTTTCCATACTTAATGAAAAAGTGCCTTGCCAAGAGGTATGATTTTATAAAAATGAAAAAAATAAGAGGTAGGTTCAGTTTATGTTTGAAAAGAAGGCCCATATGCCATACTTGATCAAAAGTTTGTGAAATATCTATAAATGCCGCAGTGCAATATTTTTTACGATCTATTGCACTATGGGTATGTCTGACAAGTCTATGAATTTGTTCCATTGTGCTATGTTTTTGGCGAAAGCCAAATTGATGGTCAGGGATGAGTCTGTTTTGTTGGATAATCGGTGTAAGGCGCTTTAGAAACAGGATTTCCATAATTTTCGACAGGATCGGAAGTAGACTTATTGGACGATATGATTTGACATCTTCTGGGATTTTCTCTGCTTTCGGTATCATGGAGATTTGCGCTATCTTCCACTTTGGCGGAATAAACCCCCTTATTAAATAGATGAATGAGAAATACAAATTCTTTTGGTGGAAGCTGCTGCAATACCATGCCTGTGATTACATCGTGTCCTGGAGCTTTTTTTTGCTTTTAACTTCGTTATTACATCCCTAACTTTATTAATAGTATATCTTTTAACTGGAAGTTCAAGTCAAAGTCATATCGCCTGCTTTAGTTTGTACAACAATGTTTGTTGCTGAATTTCATTCGAGCAATATGGTTTTACTTCATAATGTTTTATCGATTTCCTTATGAGGATCGCAGAGCCACCATTTCCTTTATCATTGGGATGCATTCTGTGATAAAGTTCCTAGTTCGGAATTTTAAAGAAACTACGCGTCGTAAAATGGGTTTCTGATACCAGCATTATGCCGACCTGGTTTATTTTTAAGAATTCTTTTATTTCGACAGTATGTTTTGATAGACCATTGGCGTTCCATATGACTACGACTAAATTAAGAATTTTGTTTAGTCGTCAAGTTGATCAGTAAATTGGTCATTACTACGATTGTTGCATCATTTGCTTCAACAGCGTTGTCATCTCACGGAATTCTTCCACAAAATTATTTGGAATCGGTGAAAGCTTCTCCTCTGTCGCTACTGATGCCTGAGTTCACTATTTGTGCGAATGTTTGTGATGAATGAGAATTCTTGATTTTTGTTTAAAGAAGGAAGAGGATTTTCTTGAATTTGCACTTCCGGCGCCCTAGACCTCATTTGGGGACACATTTTTTTTTTGCAGGTTTTTGTATATTTGACATCCTTTGTAGTTGGCAAATTTCTCTCACATAAAATACATCACTGACATCATTGTATCTGCTTTTCCTTTCGCAATTTACAGAAGCATGGTTTCCAGCGCACTTGATACATTTGGGTTTGCGGTGACAGTATCCTTTTGTGTGCCCATACTGCTGGCAGTTTGCACATTGAGGGATTTCACGTTTCAGGTGATGTTGTTGTGAATTGGAGAACTTTGGTAATTGATATTGAGATATATTAATATTGATATATTAATATAGTATTAGTATATTAATTTTATATTGTAAACCGCCCCTAGAGTTGGTAGTAACGGCTGTATGGAGTGATATTTGCATGCCAATAGAATTGTTGTAGTATTAGTATATTAATTTTATGTTGTAAACCGCCCCTAGAGTTGGTAGTAACGGCTGTATGGCGTGATATTTGCATGCCAATAGAATTGTTGCTAGTTGTTTACACCAAATTTGGGATCGGTAAATATTCTAAATTTGGGGTAAGGCATGCGGTTTTTGTTTTTGAGAAAGGTAGAACAGTTGGTTTTGATTCAGCACAAAAGAATGAGTAGAGATTTTTATAAATTAAAAATAAGTGAATTAATTTAATAATATTAAAATTGGATTTAATATAACAATATTGTTGAGAAGAACAATTAAGTATAGTTTATAAATTAAAAATAAGTGAATTAATTTAATAATATTAAAGATTGGATTTTGATATAACAACATTGTTAAGAAGAACAATTAAGTATAGAATATAAAATAGAAATAAGTGAATTAAGTGAATTAACTTGTAATATTAAAAATTGGATGTGATATAACAATATTGTTGAGAAGAACAATTAAGTATATTTTATAAATTAAAAATAAGTGAATTAATTTAATAATATTAAAGATTGGATTTTGATATAACAATATTGCTGAGAAGGACAATTGAGTATAGAAAATAAAATAAACTAAGTGAATTAACTTGTAATATTAAAGATTGGATATTTATTTAACAATACTGTTGAAAGAACATTTAAGTATAGATGTTATAAATAATAAGAACAAATAAGTTGATACTGGCAATACTATTCTTTCTCATGCATATTGTGCATTTTGTTTTCTTATACCTTTTTTACTTTTAGTCTTAATAAACGATTCAACTTAACAGATTATGGGCCTATTGACACGCGGATAAAACAAAAATGCTGAATACTTCGGGTATTTATATTGAACAACTAAGGGGTCGTGAAAAATTTTGATGTCTGGAAAAGACAAATGAAATCGAGTCTAATTATTAAAAGATACTGGAAAGTGGTGTAACATTAGAAAAAGATGATGATACAAACGATCGTGCATTAGCAGAAATCACACTTATGGTGGACCCAAATAATTACAACCACATTGCAGCGGCAAAAACAGCAAAAGATGCTTGGTTTGCGCTTATGAACGCATATGAGGACAAAGGTTTAACAAGAAAGGTAGAATTATTGAAACAACTTGTATATACAAAATTAGAAAACTGCAAATCAGTGCAGGAATACCTAAATGAAATAATAATGACGGCTTTGAAAGTAAACAGCACTGGACTCAATATTGATGATGAGCTCACAGCTTCTTTAATACTTGCTGGTCTGCCTGAAGAGTTTAAACCATTAGTGATGACTGTCGAAAATTGTAAACACAAATTAACAGTCGATAAAGTCAAAAATTTATTAATGCAAGACTCCAAGTTTGATAATAATGAGACAAATTCGGCTTTGTATAGTGGTAACGTGCATAAGAAAAAATTTGTGTATAAAAACACATGCCATAATTGCAAAAAAGAGGGGCATTATGCTAAAAACTGCCCAAATAAAACAACATAGTACAGAAAAAATAAACCGAATAACGGAAGAAAAGGAGACGATAAAATTTTATTTGCAGTAAAAAGAGACAATATCCAAACGTGCATTAAAGCTGTAAAATTGGAATGCGAAAAAAATCAAGAACACATTTCGAAGAATTGGTATGTCGATTCTGGCACGAC